GAGGGGAGAAGACGCCATAAACTTGCCGTAAACAAAGATAAGTGAATTTTATTCAAAATGACGCGAACATTGTCAATAGCTTTTCTCGCTTTTGGCTACTTAAAAAAGGCTCTAAAATATCATTGGTTAAAATGTTGACAGTTGGACAGCTGAAAGTCGAACTTGAAAGCTTTCATAAATTAAAATTTTATCTGTCTGTACTCTTATTGATGATGAAAATAAGCCAATCAGCACGCGAGAAATCAGACAGTTACATGTATTGTAAAAATAGCTCTTGCCGATTCCTCCGCTTTTGTCTCTGTATAATACTGATCAGTCAATTCCAGCAATGCCCTATNCCCCCCCCCAACCCACTTGGCAATAACCAGGCACTTGCTGACATCTTAATTCCTAGGGTGAAGCAGTTTTGAGCAGTTTCTACATTCTGATCAGCCCAGGGGCGGGGAATTTGTCGTCTTGTTTGCTCTTACCCTGGGGGTACTTCACCCACTTGCTTGTCCTACACCAAAGAATATCCCATTTAAAAAAAAAAGTGTCAATGCCCAGGGGTTTGCCCAGGCGGGGCGGGGGTAGGGTTGAAGGACAGTACTGGAATTGACTGATGCATGTAACTTGATAGAAACACGGAAAACCTTGTCTTCTGTACACTGAATGCCTCGAGTATCCAAATAATTACAGCGTCACCTGTAACTTGGTACTTATGTTTTCTGTATTTTCTCCTAACAGTAAAAGTTCTCAAGTTCAATAGAAGAAGACCTCTTCCAGATGCCGAAGACTCAGACTTCCAGAACACTTACCTCGGCAACGGCATATCAAACTCAGTAACTGTGACAGGATACAGGTCAGCATTTAAATCAATTTTTTGGGGGGGGAAAATGTATAATATCGAAAAATTTATGGTATTACATGGTAGCACTTTTTAATTGCTTTCGTTTGAATGGTCACGCAGTAGGGTTTTGTTCACGGATTAGTAGTTGTAATTATTCAGCTCGCCAAAGTACTCTTGCATAGCTTTCACTTGAATAGTCATAAACTGCAGGGCTTTGCACACTGACGTCAAAATAGGAACCACCTTCCACAACGTGTTAAACAACACCACGTGAATTGGATTCATTCAGGAGCTTTTATCCGAATAGCCTGCGTCGCTGGCGGTCAGATGGGAAGGAACGGGAAACGAGAAGCGCGAAGCTTTCTGACTCCCTTGTGAATGCCCGCCAGGCACGCTTTTGTCCGAATGGTCACACACTAGGGTTTCATAAACAGACGTAAAAGAAAGAGCCACTTTGCACAACGTAATAAACAGTACCACATGAAAGAACTACCCGAGAGTTTTCTTTTAAATGGTCACATGTCATAGTGATTTCTTCACAGATTCTAAAGTTCGAACAAGTGTGTAAGTAGGGAATCAGGCAATGGGATTTTGAAGGGAAAAAAAACAGTTAACTGGTAGCAAGCGTAGGAAATATAGCGTAAGCCAATCACGACTGAGTTTCATTTAGCATCAAACTGAGGAATAAACTTAGTTCTGATTTAAGAGAGCAGTGCGCGAATTTAGTGTCTGAGCTCACGAGACGCAAAAAGTAAAAAGCGACTCTCAAACTGGTTTAACACAACTGAGTTTGTAACTGAGAATCGTTGCATGATAGCCGGACATGTTTATCAGTGATTTTTAACGAAGGAAATGAGATTTTTTGCACAGGCTTGCCGTCATCTCGAATTCTTCGCTCATGGTAATCTTGCGTTTATACTGACTGTTTCAAATTCCATCTCTTAGGGACAATGATTACTTAGACGAAGTCCTGGAAAAACAAGCGGACATGATTCGTTATCTGCAGCAACACAATGCCAACCTGGGAAAACGGCTTATGAAGCTCACTGCACAGCAAAGCCGGAGCAGCCTGAATACAATGTTATTTGAGAATGAAGTTTGATAAAAATGGTTTCACAAAATTTCCCTTCCTTTCCGCCTTTAGTCGACTAAACAGAGACTCTTTAGGCTCGTCACGCAATCTTTCATCCGAGTTCGTGACTATCTCGCCCAGTGAATTAACAAACGTCTGACTACGTGCGCCCAATTCGTTTTCCGGTCGAAGAGCTCCTGAGATCCGACAATGAAGTTTCCTTACTGTTGACCTAGCCCTGGAGAAATCCTTGTACAACCTTCTCTCCCAGGGTCCTTCATCTTAAGGAGCCACGTGCTTCTCGAAAATATTGGTCAGTCGCAATCCCTACATCAGAAAGAAGTAGTGTTCCGGCTCCAATGTGCAAAAATTGTCCTCGAGCTGAAAGAAACCACACGAAAAAAAAAGTCGGGAGCTTATCATCAACCGGACTCTTAATAGGAAACAAATGTGGTTAAGAATTGGTTGAGGTGCTCCAACTGATTAGTTTTTTACGATTACGGTCTTGAAAGCTTGAAGCGAAAGGGTATAACGTGCACTTTGTGTGTACAATTTTTGATTTGCAGCGACTGTGGTTAAATTAAGTCACGCACATGACCTCACGTAAATTTTTGCGGAAACGGAAAATCGCACACTTTACAGTGAGTAAGCACACAAAGAAAGAAAGAAAAAAGCAAAAAGTGCAGTTTTTTCAGGAGAAAAGTGTAAAGGTTGCTTTTATTAGATTTTTAACGACAGCCTTGTGCATCAAATTGGATCATGTGTAGCAAAAATTCAACACATGATGGTTTTTTTTAACAAATTGGCGTCGGTTTTTCATGCGTCTGTCATGTTATTGATCATGAATTTCGTCATAACATTGTCAAAGTGGCTATGGATCCGCAGACTACTTTGACAATGCCGTGACGAAATTCATTGTCAATAACAGGACAGACGCATGAGAAACTGGAGAAAATTTGTTTTCTACAATACAAATTTGTCTGATCTCGCTCTTTGCGCGAACATCGCATAAATTATAAATTCATATGTCTGTCCTTTTATTGATAATGAAAATTTGCCAATGAACGCCTGAGAATTTTGCAGTTATTGTTAAAAGAATTTTGTGTGATACAAGTAGGCGCGACCTTCCAGTCTGCAAGGGGTTGAAGAAATTAGAAAGACTTAGGAAACGTAAGACTCGCGGGCAACTCTGCTTCTCCAAATGCAAATAAATGTCTTTTGCTGAGGTCGCGATTCTTTTGGTCAACACTAAGAATCGAGGTGGCGACTTTTGTAAATGAGGCGTAATTAACTACCATTCAAAGTAATTTTATATCAATTTAATAAAGTTCAAAAGAAGACACTTGAGAAAAGTAATTTGATTAATTTCTAATAATTGAATTATTAAAAACGAGAAATTTATCGAGTGGCAATAATATGCTCGCCGTACAAATCATCACCATCAGTTTTGTATTTCACAGTAGATTTATAATCCTGCATGTTGTAGCTGAGCTTCGCCTGGGAATTAATGTTCAGTGCATGTTCCAGCTGAGCTTCGCCTGGAAATTAATGGCCAGTGCATGTTCTTTGGCACTTGATTTCGTTGAAGTTTTTCAATGATTAATTATCCTGGTGGGCGCTTACAGACTTAGTTCTTTGAACGGTGGTGTGGGGATTTACAACGCCCTTTTCGAGCGTACATTCATGTAAGAGTTACAGGGTGTCGTTGTGTACGAACAAGTCTGTTCACATTGATCCCACAGCCCAGAAGGAGCCCGCAGGCAGTAGGGAGAGAAATCACATGTGAAAAGGTCCAATGTGCTCGTCGTCTCCCTCAGGTGTGTAAATCAAGGATTCTGGTCTAACTTTGGGTGTACAGGACGAAAGTCCTCTATTTCTAGCCGTCAACTTATCTTTTAGGGTTGCACTCGAAGAAATAACTGGAGTTTTATGGCAATGCTTTCACTTGAATCTGCAATGTATCTATAGGAGAAAGTATTTGGTGACAATGTCTTGAGCATCATTAAAATCATTGTAGCCCATGCTTGTCGGTCCGGGTTAAAGTGGTATCTTTTCGGTTAAATGAAGTTCAACCCCCGCCCAGATAAGTCTCCTTTAGGGGCTTAATCCAAATTTTCCGACGAGCATCCCCGATCTTTTCACATGGGAGTCCACTACTGTCACCACTTTCTCCCTTTCCCTTTCTCGAGGGAAAAAAAACTGTGCTATTTTCTTACCTGTCGCTAACTTGTCCGTCTTTCGACTTTGATTAATTGGGACTGAGCATTCTCGTCCACCATATTAATGATGTTGTTTTCTTAGTTAATCCCATAAGCACTCGCGCCGCCATCAGGCTCAAGAAGTTTTTTTTTTAAATTTTTGTTTTCAAAAAGGGCCAATCTCTAACCCAAAGCCGTCCGGCTTCTTAGAACTCTTGGTTCGAGATTAAATTTGTCGTAATCTCAGCCTCTTTCAAGGTGCTGCTCCTCTGATTACTATGAGCAGAATTCTACTGGTATGCTAATATAAATGCAGCAATCTGATTGGCTGAGCTACTCCTACACTATCAGCCATTAGTGGCTAGAGTGTTTTCTCTGCATTTCTTCGCTGTTTCGAGGAAGAGTTTGAAATATAACAAGATAAATCAATTCCAAAGAACACTTAAGAAATTAAATGGAGTTTCATGCGACTATAAGACCTGTGAGCGCGTGCAAACAGCTACAAGGTTTAATCAATAATTCAATCCGCGCTTGATTTTGCTAAAGCGGGAAATAATACTACAATGTATGCGGAGAAATAATTGTAAATCGCTAATGAATTGAAAGGAATTTGGTTAGAATTCTACTCTAAAATGTATATGTTATTTGCCGACTGAGAGGTCCATATAGTGAAAAACTGTGAGTGAGGTCTTAAAAATGCTACCTGAAGACGCATGCAGCAAGCAGCTTCTTTTTATCGTCTGTACTTTTGACTGTGTTGATGACTATGGCCATGGAGATGGATGCATCGATCGACTTGCAAACTTCTTTGTTCTCAGCTTAGAGTCGCGATGACACACGCAAAACGCGTTTGAAAGCTCGCCAGAATTGCTTGTTCCGCGCTGCATAAATCCATGGGTTCAATGCTGAATTGGCCAAAGATACTGAAACGGTAGCGAGCCAAGCATCGTAAAAACACAAGTGGAGAGTAAAATCGAGAAAGCATACGATAAACGTTGGCGTCCAAAATATCATATACACCCCTATTACTATGGCTATAGTGTAAGCAGCTTTACGTTGCCTCAGGGAAGCCGCACGGACACTCGATGTCAAGGAACAGATTTTTGTTCTTTGCTCTTTGGCGGCTTTAAAGATCTTCGCGTAGCAGAAACAGATGACAACAATCGGAAGATCGATGCCAAATATTGCTGCGGCCATGTAGAACTTCGGCAGCTCGGATCGCAAGCCGACGATAAAACGGAAACTCGCTAAGACCATGGTAAACGCCCAAGCAATCAAAATGGCGGCGAAACATCTCTTCTGTGTTACAATATGGTTGTACTTGTACGGCAAGATGATGGCGACATATCTGTCTACTGTAACGCTGCAGAGACTATATGTCGACGCCATTAAAGTCTGTATGGTGATGAAGTCGCTGCTTAAGCAAAGAACGTGAGTGTTTTCTGTGATGTTCAACACCGCACGCGCGATCCAGAGCGGTATCGCGACAAGACCGACGAGGAGGTCCGCCAAGCTCATGGAAGAAATGAAGAAGTTGGTTGGCGTTTGTAGCGTGGTTGTTTTATAAACAGCTGACACGATAAGTAAGTTTCCACAGATCGCCACTGCACCGGACAAACAGTTGGCTAAACAAAACAGTACGATACCCCAAGTTTGGATTATGGTCTTATGTTCCGAATAACAGTGGCTTTCGTTTCGAGCAGTGATTTGTGAAATGTTGTTCTCCAGCATCTTTACACCTTGGAAGAATCAATGCTACATGGTTCTTCACAAGCCTTGTTCACTGTCGGTTCTTTCAGAGCAGTTAGCTGAAGCAGTCCTTTTTGTTACAACAGCTGTTGTAATGTAATCGATGTCGTTTCTTGTCTAGTTCCCAAGCCAGTTCTTGTACTAAGACTACTTAAAATATTCCTAAAAATCAGAAGCTTGCGTGCACCGTTTGGTGAAATTTCCTACGTAATGTTCAACTTTCATTACCATTATATTAATATTTTTTTTTTGATAACGCCAGTCCGGATTCACTGGAGACTACTCGAGTACAGTAGATATACAACTGTGAAGACAATGGAACATTTGGGCTGTTGTCCTGAGCTTTTAGCGAGCAAATACGAAATGTGACCCTATATTTATCTCTAATTTAGCGTGGGTTCTTGATCTTTCATTCAGTTAGTAACAGGAGAGTGGCTCGCAGTTGCAGAAAATGGGTGGGCACATCATGAAAAGAGTTTGTTTGGAAATGTCTATCAAGTTTGTACGAGTTATTAAAAATTGCGCAAACTTTGTAATTAAAATTTCTGGGCTTTTTCATTCTGCAAAGTGAAATCAGGGTATGTTTGCCGAAGAAAACGTCTAAAATTAAATTTTGATCGTCTAGCTGTAATGGGTTTTATCGAAACATCCGATATAATCTTGTTTGGCTTCTTCCTATAATTTGACAAGCATTTAGTTTTCAAACTGAATACGATGGCAATTCCAATCTACTATCGCCTCATCATTGATCACCACACTCCAGCCGGATTGAAGCATTAGGCTTCCCTAGCACACTGACCACCCTTTCTTAGGAGAAGTTGCCCAGGCGGATGGCATCGCCAGGTTTTAGTGAAATTACACTGAAGTGGAAGACATTTTTCAAAGGATGGAGACATTGTCAAAGTTTTGTCATTAATGGTCGTACAACTAAATTACACCGGCGAACATTGTTGATATAAGCTGTTTACCTAGAGATAACTTAAAGTAGCGCGCGAGAGAAACAAAAGCCAAAGGATTTCTCCGTGTTTTTGTTAATTTTTGTCTCAAAGTCAGCTTGTACGTAGGGGAACTTCCCTTGTAACAAAAAGTTCGAAAACTCAGTTTACAGGATAAAACCCTGAACGGATAAATGTTGATAGAAATCATTTAAAAACAGGGTTCCATTGTGAACACAATTTTGACAGATTCTGTTTTCAATCATAAAAACATAAGGCTTCCGGCTCACAGTTGTCCGTAATGCAACCATTTCCATCCTTGGCATATTTAGTCTTCGTCTCATCTCGTAATAAATTCCTATCTTTGTCCTTTCATGTTCTGCAACTGATTGAACTGCTGTTGTTTTTCGCTCTGCTGCGGCCTCGATATTTTTCCGGGTTCAACGAAATCATCGCATGCTGTTAACAGATGACACTGTTCGTTTAAAGTATCTGTTTTAGAATAAGACTATTACTAATTTTAGGCACTCCAAAGTACGCCACTACAGTACAGGAGTTTTATTTTGGTGTCGCACAGGAAAAAAAGGGACTTTTGCAGCCATTTAGGGATTAAAAATAATAATAATAACTCCATGAAGACCTAGACAAATTAACTCCTAGTTTGCAAGGAAACCGAATCGGGGCCAATCAATATTTCCTGTGGTCTACTTTGGTGTCACAAAGGAAAAAAAGTAAGTTATGCAGCCATTCAGGGTGAACGTGATTTAAAAACAAAATCACTTCGATTGCATCAAGACAGACCAACCTCGTTTAAACGGAAACCTGATAAGGACCGACCAGTGCGCCATTGTTATACACTCAAGGGGGTCAATTTTCGTGTCACATGGGAGAATAATTGTCTTGTACAGCCTCTCAAGGGGAACTTAACTTGAAAAAAATATATATTCATAAAAAGAAACAGAAGAATCTCGCCTATACCGGCGAAAACCGAATCAGAACCAGCCAATGTGTGCTGGTGTTATAAGCCCAAACAAGGGCTCAAGGAAAGCTCAAAGGAGTGCAGGGCATGGCATTCAAATGGCCATTAGAATTTCTTCAGCCAAGAACACTGTTATGAAGCATTGTGCAACAAATCGTATCATCTCTCACTTCCTTGCATTAAGTTTTAATTGTTTGAAAATGAAAATTTGATATCAAAATAGCCATTAGAATTTATTTAGCCAAGAACGCTTCTTTGAAACAAATCGCGACAAGTCGTTTCACTCCTCTCGATCCTGGCATTAAATTTTTAAATAGTTTGAAAATGACTACTTAACCATGCATAAACTACAATCATGGACAAAAGTCCAATTTGCACTTTTGGCTCTTTTGCAGACACCCGAGAGAAACAGTCACGCGAATACAGCTTCAGCTGCCTCGTGGCCTCTCCCCCACCCACCCCACAAACAATGTTGAAAAGTAGTACCTGCGATTTCTGCTGAGCTTTATAACATTGTATTGAATGGAGAGGGAGTAACAGAAACGCGTTTTTAAAAGGATAGCAGTGCTTTTTCAAACTTCAGTTGTAAAACACAGATAATTCGTTGCATTACATAAGTGTCCCAAGGAGTTTTGTCCACCATTGTAGGTAAAAGCCATCAAGACCACTTAAGCTTGCTTGTTTGTCCGTTTCACGAGGAGTCAGTTCTGTGAGCGGAATCTGCATTACCGGCGAGACTGACCTGAAAATTAAGGTAGCTTCAAGTGGCAAAGGATCGGACACTCACTATCAACCACCAGAGTTAATCAGTGTAGCACGTTGACAAAGAATCCTGTAATCGAACCATGACAACTAGTCGCATTAATTAACTCTTGCTGATCGCAAAGACTTGGACGACAACTACTTATTGTACTTTTAAAACGGATTTCAGTCACGGTATCTTCCCCACGTACAAAATCACCTTTGCATTGAAGGAAACCTGAAAATAGTAGTTTACTAAGATAGAAAAACCCCAAGAAGATAATAATTAACCGTAAAATAACAAGGATAGTTTGGGATGGAGAATGTCGACNAACTCTTGGTTCGAGATTAAATTTGTCGTAATCTCAGCCTCTTTCAAGGTGCTGCTCCTCTGATTACTATGAGCAGAATTCTACTGGTATGCTAATATAAATGCAGCAATCTGATTGGCTGAGCTACTCCTACACTATCAGCCATTAGTGGCTAGAGTGTTTTCTCTGCATTTCTTCGCTGTTTCGAGGAAGAGTTTGAAATATAACAAGATAAATCAATTCCAAAGAACACTTAAGAAATTAAATGGAGTTTCATGCGACTATAAGACCTGTGAGCGCGTGCAAACAGCTACAAGGTTTAATCAATAATTCAATCCGCGCTTGATTTTGCTAAAGCGGGAAATAATACTACAATGTATGCGGAGAAATAATTGTAAATCGCTAATGAATTGAAAGGAATTTGGTTAGAATTCTACTCTAAAATGTATATGTTATTTGCCGACTGAGAGGTCCATATAGTGAAAAACTGTGAGTGAGGTCTTAAAAATGCTACCTGAAGACGCATGCAGCAAGCAGCTTCTTTTTATCGTCTGTACTTTTGACTGTGTTGATGACTATGGCCATGGAGATGGATGCATCGATCGACTTGCAAACTTCTTTGTTCTCAGCTTAGAGTCGCGATGACACACGCAAAACGCGTTTGAAAGCTCGCCAGAATTGCTTGTTCCGCGCTGCATAAATCCATGGGTTCAATGCTGAATTGGCCAAAGATACTGAAACGGTAGCGAGCCAAGCATCGTAAAAACACAAGTGGAGAGTAAAATCGAGAAAGCATACGATAAACGTTGGCGTCCAAAATATCATATACACCCCTATTACTATGGCTATAGTGTAAGCAGCTTTACGTTGCCTCAGGGAAGCCGCACGGACACTCGATGTCAAGGAACAGATTTTTGTTCTTTGCTCTTTGGCGGCTTTAAAGATCTTCGCGTAGCAGAAACAGATGACAACAATCGGAAGATCGATGCCAAATATTGCTGCGGCCATGTAGAACTTCGGCAGCTCGGATCGCAAGCCGACGATAAAACGGAAACTCGCTAAGACCATGGTAAACGCCCAAGCAATCAAAATGGCGGCGAAACATCTCTTCTGTGTTACAATATGGTTGTACTTGTACGGCAAGATGATGGCGACATATCTGTCTACTGTAACGCTGCAGAGACTATATGTCGACGCCATTAAAGTCTGTATGGTGATGAAGTCGCTGCTTAAGCAAAGAACGTGAGTGTTTTCTGTGATGTTCAACACCGCACGCGCGATCCAGAGCGGTATCGCGACAAGACCGACGAGGAGGTCCGCCAAGCTCATGGAAGAAATGAAGAAGTTGGTTGGCGTTTGTAGCGTGGTTGTTTTATAAACAGCTGACACGATAAGTAAGTTTCCACAGATCGCCACTGCACCGGACAAACAGTTGGCTAAACAAAACAGTACGATACCCCAAGTTTGGATTATGGTCTTATGTTCCGAATAACAGTGGCTTTCGTTTCGAGCAGTGATTTGTGAAATGTTGTTCTCCAGCATCTTTACACCTTGGAAGAATCAATGCTACATGGTTCTTCACAAGCCTTGTTCACTGTCGGTTCTTTCAGAGCAGTTAGCTGAAGCAGTCCTTTTTGTTACAACAGCTGTTGTAATGTAATCGATGTCGTTTCTTGTCTAGTTCCCAAGCCAGTTCTTGTACTAAGACTACTTAAAATATTCCTAAAAATCAGAAGCTTGCGTGCACCGTTTGGTGAAATTTCCTACGTAATGTTCAACTTTCATTACCATTATATTAATATTTTTTTTTTGATAACGCCAGTCCGGATTCACTGGAGACTACTCGAGTACAGTAGATATACAACTGTGAAGACAATGGAACATTTGGGCTGTTGTCCTGAGCTTTTAGCGAGCAAATACGAAATGTGACCCTATATTTATCTCTAATTTAGCGTGGGTTCTTGATCTTTCATTCAGTTAGTAACAGGAGAGTGGCTCGCAGTTGCAGAAAATGGGTGGGCACATCATGAAAAGAGTTTGTTTGGAAATGTCTATCAAGTTTGTACGAGTTATTAAAAATTGCGCAAACTTTGTAATTAAAATTTCTGGGCTTTTTCATTCTGCAAAGTGAAATCAGGGTATGTTTGCCGAAGAAAACGTCTAAAATTAAATTTTGATCGTCTAGCTGTAATGGGTTTTATCGAAACATCCGATATAATCTTGTTTGGCTTCTTCCTATAATTTGACAAGCATTTAGTTTTCAAACTGAATACGATGGCAATTCCAATCTACTATCGCCTCATCATTGATCACCACACTCCAGCCGGATTGAAGCATTAGGCTTCCCTAGCACACTGACCACCCTTTCTTAGGAGAAGTTGCCCAGGCGGATGGCATCGCCAGGTTTTAGTGAAATTACACTGAAGTGGAAGACATTTTTCAAAGGATGGAGACATTGTCAAAGTTTTGTCATTAATGGTCGTACAACTAAATTACACCGGCGAACATTGTTGATATAAGCTGTTTACCTAGAGATAACTTAAAGTAGCGCGCGAGAGAAACAAAAGCCAAAGGATTTCTCCGTGTTTTTGTTAATTTTTGTCTCAAAGTCAGCTTGTACGTAGGGGAACTTCCCTTGTAACAAAAAGTTCGAAAACTCAGTTTACAGGATAAAACCCTGAACGGATAAATGTTGATAGAAATCATTTAAAAACAGGGTTCCATTGTGAACACAATTTTGACAGATTCTGTTTTCAATCATAAAAACATAAGGCTTCCGGCTCACAGTTGTCCGTAATGCAACCATTTCCATCCTTGGCATATTTAGTCTTCGTCTCATCTCGTAATAAATTCCTATCTTTGTCCTTTCATGTTCTGCAACTGATTGAACTGTTGTTGTTTTTCGCTCTGCTGCGGCCTCGATATTTTTCCGGGTTCAACGAAATCATCGCATGCTGTTAACAGATGACACTGTTCGTTTAAAGTATCTGTTTTAGAATAAGACTATTACTAATTTTAGGCACTCCAAAGTACGCCACTACAGTACAGGAGTTTTATTTTGGTGTCGCACAGGAAAAAAAGGGACTTTTGCAGCCATTTAGGGATTAAAAATAATAATAATAACTCCATGAAGACCTAGACAAATTAACTCCTAGTTTGCAAGGAAACCGAATCGGGGCCAATCAATATTTCCTGTGGTCTACTTTGGTGTCACAAAGGAAAAAAAGTAAGTTATGCAGCCATTCAGGGTGAACGTGATTTAAAAACAAAATCACTTCGATTGCATCAAGACAGACCAACCTCGTTTAAACGGAAACCTGATAAGGACCGACCAGTGCGCCATTGTTATACACTCAAGGGGGTCAATTTTCGTGTCACATGGGAGAATAATTGTCTTGTACAGCCTCTCAAGGGGAACTTAACTTGAAAAAAATATATATTCATAAAAAGAAACAGAAGAATCTCGCCTATACCGGCGAAAACCGAATCAGAACCAGCCAATGTGTGCTGGTGTTATAAGCCCAAACAAGGGCTCAAGGAAAGCTCAAAGGAGTGCAGGGCATGGCATTCAAATGGCCATTAGAATTTCTTCAGCCAAGAACACTGTTATGAAGCATTGTGCAACAAATCGTATCATCTCTCACTTCCTTGCATTAAGTTTTAATTGTTTGAAAATGAAAATTTGATATCAAAATAGCCATTAGAATTTATTTAGCCAAGAACGCTTCTTTGAAACAAATCGCGACAAGTCGTTTCACTCCTCTCGATCCTGGCATTAAATTTTTAAATAGTTTGAAAATGATTACTTAACCATGCATAAACTACAATCATGGACAAAAGTCCAATTTGCACTTTTGGCTCTTTTGCAGACACCCGAGAGAAACAGTCACGCGAATACAGCTTCAGCTGCCTCGTGGCCTCTCCCCCACCCACCCCACAAACAATGTTGAAAAGTAGTACCTGCGATTTCTGCTGAGCTTTATAACATTGTATTGAATGGAGAGGGAGTAACAGAAACGCGTTTTTAAAAGGATAGCAGTGCTTTTTCAAACTTCAGTTGTAAAACACAGATAATTCGTTGCATTACATAAGTGTCCCAAGGAGTTTTGTCCACCATTGTAGGTAAAAGCCATCAAGACCACTTAAGCTTGCTTGTTTGTCCGTTTCACGAGGAGTCAGTTCTGTGAGCGGAATCTGCATTACCGGCGAGACTGACCTGAAAATTAAGGTAGCTTCAAGTGGCAAAGGATCGGACACTCACTATCAACCACCAGAGTTAATCAGTGTAGCACGTTGACAAAGAATCCTGTAATCGAACCATGACAACTAGTCGCATTAATTAACTCTTGCTGATCGCAAAGACTTGGACGACAACTACTTATTGTACTTTTAAAACGGATTTCAGTCACGGTATCTTCCCCACGTACAAAATCACCTTTGCATTGAAGGAAACCTGAAAATAGTAGTTTACTAAGATAGAAAAACCCCAAGAAGATAATAATTAACCGTAAAATAACAAGGATAGTTTGGGATGGAGAATGTCGACACGGATTGCAAACAACTGCTATGGAGAGATTTTATTAAGTCTGAGAGTCACTAAGAGGTTCAGGTACAGTTCAACACATTTCGTTATATAATGTAACGAGATTTATTTTGCGTAGAAAACAAACTGTTATCGTTATTGCAGCTTAAATGAAAACTTATCGCATCTTCATGTATACATCGTATATTATGCAAAATATAAACTTCACGAATCGATATATATACTACTCAAAATAGAAAAAAATGTTCGCAGGTTACATTGTAAGCAATGCCGGTTTTATGAAAGTTCTCGAACTAATTTCTCTACTTCATTTCCTCGACTAGATATTATATACATAAGAACCTTTTGAAAAAAATGGGACTCTTTTCGGGGCTTTTAAAATACCGGTAGCACACCACTATGATGTTAACACGAGTAGTTATGTACTATATATATGCGTTTTCCATCCAGATCCCATTATGCATGCATCACAACGGCAGTTCGTGACAGAGTTTTTGTGGAACAACAGCGAATCTAGGAAAGTTAGTCTTCTTTAATTTATAAAGGTCTCGAATTAAATTGCTATACTATGAGTATAAATTACTGTTTTGTGTCTCCTTCAAATGTATCCCATTTGATGAAGCAGTGTCTAAAAATCGAAAACTAGGCGAGTTGTTTCATTGTCTTTACAAGCCGATAATATCTTCTGCACTTTCTGTGTTAATGTGCCATTTCGTTTCTCTTTTACTTGCCTAGATTTCGGAAAAGCAAAAGCAAATGGTGATTTTGTCGTTGAGAGCGCATTTCGCAATGTCGTGATGTGACATTCTATTGGAATGACCCTCGAAAATTTGTGCTTGCAGGCCTTGTTGTCATCTCGGTGGTTGACTTTCCATGGCGCTTATCTCTGCCTCTTTTTCTTGCTCAAGCTCTGCAAATAAAACAGAATGAGAGATCAATCAACAATCAATCAATAAACGAAACATTAAGTGTTTAGATCGTTGAGCTAAAAGCTATTCACACAGTGTTCTTTGCTTGGAAGTTAAGAATTGTCTTCAGATATTTCGCTCAATTAGCTAACTATTTGCTTTTCTCTTCTGCCTTAGCTTGCCCTTTCAAATATCAAGGTTTACGAGCTTAGCTAATGGCTGTTATTAAAAACTAGGTCATTAGATAATGCAATTCAAGAGTTTTGATTGGCTTAGCCATCATGATATGAACCATTATACCATGCTCTACAAATATGGTAAGCGTACGCGTAATCTTTTTTGTTTGTTTGTTTGATTGTTTTTAGGGGGGGGCGTTTTTATTTTTATTTTAGTTTAGTTTTCTACATTTTGGGAGTGTTTTTGATAAAACAGTTATTCCACTCGCACTTGTTGGGTATGAGATGACTATGGCCAAGTGGGTCCGCCTTACGAGCCTCGTTGACGAGTCTACCATCTCATATCCAACGAGCACTCTTGGAATAATTGTTAAGTACATCCTTTTACGTCTCCGGTCTCGACATGCACATAATAAAGCGATGCTAAGTTGCCTCAAGAACACAATATATAAGGACAACCGTCACTACAGTTTAGTTCAAACTCTCTATCGTCTTCTTGATCTCAAACACAACGTATTGGCAACGAGCTCCTAATCATTCACTCAGCTGGTCACAATGCCTTTACTCGGCCTGAAATACTCTAGTAATCTTAATAATCAGAAACGTGGTTTGAGATCCAAATATAGGTTAACTTACGTTGCAAAACAAGCAGTACACGCCAGCATCGAAGAATAACAATCATATGTAAATATCTTGGATACGGCTTATTAATTTCACTGAAAAGTAAGAACATTGAACGGATTTAGTGCCCATCCTCTGAATGACAAAACGTCGGCATCAGCCTCGCAACCAGAGTCTTTGTTCCCCTTGACCAGCGGTAGAAGGGCAAACGACGGTAGGTACGTGATGTATGGGGACATATATTGTACCATACTGTCGTGTCACCCTAAAATGGAACTCTCAAGAGTCGCTCGTTTCCTCAACTACGCGCTTTCGCAGTGAGAAACATAATGACTGACGGAACGAGACTGCGATCAGTAATAACAACGCATGCGTAACTAACTGAATTGTGTTGAAAAAGATTTATATGGAGCAGAACAACTGGATGTCAATACCTGAAACCATTGCTTGAAATTAACTCTACCAGAAAATAGAAATATACCAAGGCTACGTCAAATATCTGCAATCAGTGAAGCAAATGAAATATTAAAAGAATGTTTTTTGTTAAACAAATAGGCCATTAGATTATCATTGCGAGGAATCCATGGAAGGGTCTTTTGCAGTTTTTAAACCATGCCATGCTACAACTTTCCAGCTGAAAATTGGATCTCCTGAAATAACATTTTATGCTAATGGTTTACCTTTTGATGTAATGGATTTGGATTAACTTTTTTGCCAGTCCTATTGCTATTTTATGTTGGGCTAATTTCAATGAGGGCTAAGAAATTGTCTTGATGAGATTAACAGCTTTGGTTCCGAAAATTGTTGGTAACTATCACTGAATACACAAGTTACCTCCATCTTCTCCTGGAACAAATCTTTTCGAAGAACAACTATTCTTAGAAAACACTGAAAAGAAGATCAAAAGAGCACTCAAATATAAATTATAAAATTAATTTTTAAAAAGTAGGGCGTCAGAAAGCCAAGGTAGCCTGCACTAGACCAGCGCTTTACTCTGGCTTCTGATCTGTAGCAAATTAATAGAGGGAGCATTACTAAGGGCCTCCACAGACTAGACACTTAGTTGTCGACAACTATGTGATATCGACAACTAATTCGGTGTCCGATACAAGCATTCCACACATTGGAGTGTTGCTTGTCGATAATTAAGTCAGGTCAGCGAGACCTTGGGAAATGACGTTCACTGCGCATGCTCAAAACACAATACGCATGCTCAAATGTGTCTCATGTTTCGATAGTTGTCGACAACTAAACCAATGATTCCACACACGGGAAAAACGGTCAAAACGTAGTCGACAACCAAAGCAGATTCCCATTTCGAGAAGGAAAAACTACTTAATTGTCGACGACTAAAAATTTAGCGTTTAGTTGTCGACAACTCATCTCACACACTAAGTTTTTTAGTTGTCGATAACACGTAGTTGTCGATGACAAAAAGTTGTCGACAAGTAAGTGTCTAGTATGCAGAGGCCCTAATAATAACTAGATAGGATGTTATTCCAATGCAGATTCACCTCTCCTACCCTCCTCCGCCCATCCTCTTTCTTTAAGTATTTTTGAGAGCGGACTGTCTTGCCCGAGGCCACAGCGCAATGGCCCGGCCAGGGCTCGAACCCGGACCTCTCGATCAGCAGTCCAAACTGCAAACTGCATTCAGAATTAGTCACGTCGTAGAAAAATGGAAATCTACAAACCCGTATTTCACTAAATAAATGTAATCTTACCTCGAGGACAAACAAGAACATGATGACCAAATTGATGTAAAGAAAACTCGTAAAAACGAACTCAATCCCTTTATCTGTAAGTGCAAATGAATATTTAATGCTGTTAGTCGTGTAAACAATAATGTAGACGATTTTTACAAGGAAAAGTTTTCTTTTCGATTTGGTCATTCGGGGTTTAGCTGATTCGGGGGATGATTAGTATTCTTGGCCGTTGCTATGCATTTCAGTCAGTACTATCCACATGTTTCTATAAACAGCTATGACTATTATTCTACACTGGGTTTTAAAGCGTGGTGACTGGTTACCAGAGATACCCTTTACCAATTACTCTACCGACTCTTTACTCTACCATTTTATTTCCAATGAGGCAATTAATGCTGATGAAACACGCGATCGTGGTAATAATCACTCAGTTACAAAACAGAGCATATTTTGATTTCGGGACCAGGCTTAAAGACCAACGTGTGTTCTTCTTGCCTAAACAAATGTGTTAAAACTGTATTTTTTCTAGGTGTCTCAAGAAGTCGGTTCGTATCTCCAGTATCTTTAACATGACGTGACAGGGAGTCCATGAATCTCTGTCAGGTTGCTCCAGGAGGCCAGGGTAGGGTAGGGTGGGGTAGGTTAGGCTAGGGTGGGCTAGGTAGGATAGAGTATGGTTGGGTGGATTAAGGTAGGATAGAGTAAGTTAGGGAAGGGTAGGGTAGGGTTATGAAGGCTAGGGTAGGGTAGGGTAGGTTAGGGTAAGGTAGGGTAGGGTAAGTTAGGGTAGGGAAGGGTAGGATAGGGTAGGGTAGGTTAGGTTAGTTTAGGTTAGGTTAGGGTAGGGTAGGGTAGGGTAGGGTAAGGTAGGGTAAGTAAGGGTAGGGTAGGGTATGGTAGGGTGGGATAGGGTAGGGTAGGGTAAGTTAGGATAGGGTAGGGTAGGGTAGGGTTGATTTTTATTACTTACCGTCAATCACATCAAAATCTGCAAAAATATTAGCGACCACCAGGAAACAGTCCACCAGTGATACCATGACAACGGTAAAGTTGGCGTGACGGTGGGTAATAATGGTCCTAAGCTTTTCATTCGTGAACCACTCCTGTTAATATATTCAAAATCTTTCAAAATTTTGGATTACCAAATAGCATTATTGATTAACTGAGCCGAAAAAACACTTTTACTTTACTGACCTTTCCCTTGCTCTTTATTTTCTCTTTGCAAAGGACGCAAATCCTGCCTATAAACTATAAAAAAGGCAAAATTTGAACAACTTTCCAATAGCCAGCTCATAGTAAAAGAGGACTATATAGATTAACTCTGGTTTGAACTCAAGACGTTTTGAAACTTATCCATGGAATTTAGCGTAAGAATCTAAATTGAGCGGATCTCGGTTATCTAGGTTTCTCTTCAAGTCACATTTAAACAATATCCTTACCTGGAATATAAAAACGATGAAGACACAAATACCACCAGGGTACTCTGTAAGGGAACACTTTTCACCTGCATAGCAAAGATAAAGAGAAGTTGGTCTACCTCAGTCACAACCACTGCTCTTCTGGTCGGCTTCTTTAATATGACGACATTACAAGTGTCGGTATACCCCTTTCCCCTTCATGGGACGCCAAATCAAGGCAGCTTACCCCTTTCGTCGCCCCAAAATATTTTCAGTTACCTTAAAAATTCAAAAATACCTATATTGGTATTCTTGGGTGGAGAGAGGTACTGCGTGAATGTAAAACATTTTGACCAAGAACTCAACAAGCTGCGGCTCAACCTCGTTTTCAGGGCTTTTCCCTTAGAGCTCCCAATAGCTAAGGGAAAAGCCCTGAAGTAGAGGTTGGCTACGGCTATTAGTGTTAAAGAACGAATGAAATTGAGAAAGTTCTTCAGTGAAGTGTTGTTTAGCTTTAGCAAAAAAATCAACAGGGGACAAGTGAGACATTGCACCTCCAAACAAACGGAACTAAATGGGGTTCTATTTTTACCATTGTTTTCGTCTTCTCTCTCGGCTTCCTGTGAGTGCGCATTGTCGTGCGTGTTGCTCTGCTGACCGGCCTGCGGGCTTGCTTGATAATGCGACACAGCTTGCTCGATCTTTTGATCGACCTTGGTCCAGAACGAGGCCACCAACTTGTCAACGTAATCCGTTGAAAACAATTCAGTTTCCTCCTCTGGGGTGTGGGCTCGAGGGCTAGTAGTAGCCGTAGTTGCTCCACCAGTGGGCACCTCACGGGTAAGCTGTGTATCACTTTGAATGGAATGGGAATCTTCCTTGGGATCTCCCATGGGTATTCCATGGACGACTTCATTGTCTTTTCGATGTTTCTCAGGCGAAGACTCTCTGTTGAATATTAAAACATATGGCTGCTGAGTAAAATGGCAGTGAACTGGCTTATATCGATCCGTTCTTACATCGATTTGCTATCCGTTCTGTAAGAATCACAACTTTGTTTCTCTTTTATAAGATAAGACTGAACTGAAAAGACAAAGCTCGTTAATGAATCAATGTGTTCGATCTTTGTACTGACGTGACAGCGTACGTGCGTTACTTAATTAAAATACACTACTATATCTTTTCAGAATCTGATTCAGTTCTTTCCCTAGCAGCGATGATTACTTTTCTTGTTTACACGACTTCTCCCACGCTTGGCAAGGTTGATGTTTGTCTTTGAAATGTAACGTTTACATGGAACAGGAACCCAACGCAACTGCGAAAACATACCGGATTCGACTGACTGTTTCAAAGGCTCCACCGCATGAAAGACCAGCTCGAGTGATCAAGCCTTTCCTATCACGGTGTAATTAAATCAACATAAATATTTAATAGCACAAAATTGCAAAGTCAAGTGCCTCTTACCTTTTCTTCGTGCTCTCCAGCCTGGTAAATCGGTTATCTTCGTCGCTTCCATCGCTTGTATCTTCAGTATCCGTGATTGCACTTGCTAACCTGAAAAGACGCGAAAAAATTCATTACTCTCTTCTTATACAAGGGAGCGTGAAATCAGCGCAGCGTCAGATTATCACAGGTTTAACTTATTTGTCAGGAGAAGATTACCTGTCACTCTTGTTATCGACCTGAGGGGTAAAAGACATCTGCGTTGAAATCCTTCTTCAAAATCTGATGCATTCTTACCAGCTCCGAGCCGTATTGCGGCCGAGTATTCTACAAACTACTCGTAATCTCACCGCCGTTAAATTGCCAGATTTGCGCAATTTCTCAGCGTAGATTTAATTGCTTGGAGAAGTTCCTATCGCTGATCCGTTCGGGGGCACGAAAAACACGCGGGTGCCCAATTGACAGCAATTTTTAGCTCCGTGACAACATCGTGTGTGGATGCAAAAGGCCCAATCCCGGCATTGTATTTATCAGTTGCGTTTTTCAGCAGATCGACTTCTAAAGTGGAGAGTGTTTCAGTCAAAACTGGGGACTGTAGTTCCTTCATTCTTTTGTCTGCTTTATTGATTCCATTATGGCTTTCTTTCACCTTGCTTCTTCCTGATTTATGAGTAAAAACCTAATTGCAGGTGGCCAAAATCAATTTGGTTCTGCTTGCGACGTTTTTGACATTTGTGCTTTAGACAAAATTAATCCTAGCCCCACCATGTTTGTCTAGATGATTAAAATTATCAATAAAGAACCTAACCGTAGTCTCTCGTTATTATTAAGTAGGTAATAGGGAAATTACTAAATTCGCTTTTAGGTTCAGATAAACTGGTAGGAACGAGAAGAACTAGCACGAGTCAAGCTTAGGTGCTCGCGCCAAACCTCCTCGGCATTTTCGATCTCGCCGAGAGAAGCCCTCACGGGACAAAAACCAATATCTTCAAATTCCAAATCGACCAGGATAGAAAGCCTGCATGAAAATCAGGTATGGCTGATGTGGCTTCCTCTCTAAATATTGCAATTTTTAATTTTTATTTTATTTAGAACTTTGTTAGGACAATGGCGATGGACAATAGTTTTAACGATCCCTGTAATGTGGACGAGCTGAATAATACGTACGAGGTATTACTCACAGGAAGTTATTTGATGTTAACGAGGTTGTTTTTCAACCAATCAAAAGGAATGGCGGAAAAACGAAGGACAATGATAATTAATAAAATTACGCGTACCTGTTTACGCTTTCCTTGTCCAAAGTTATTTCCTCTGAGTCAGAAGAATCACTATAAAGAGCTGCAGCTTCCATTCGTCAAGTCTTCTTTCAACAAGGAACTGCCTAACACTTGACGGCCATTCCTCGTAGGCTCTGTTATATCGTGTTTCATGATCACCTCCTGAAAATTCAGTATGATGGTAGAACATTTGAATGAGAGCTAGCCTGCGAGCAGGCTCACGTTGGAGCACAAGCGCAAGTGGCGTAGAGCACGGAATTGAGCGGCGAAGGCACGAGAAGGGAAAGTCACTTTCTTGATGGGCCTCCTCACCAGTCTCCACCCCGCCGGATCGCTTCGATATTCTCCGCTCGCGCGTGTGACTCAAAGGTGAGCCTGTTCGCAGGCTAAATGACAGCCAAGAAAAGGCCTCGCTCGTTTTAGCGGGACTAAACCTTGGCCTGCCCGGAATTTTTATTAGCGTCAAATTCAGACGTATTAGTTATCGATGATTATATATTTCTTGACCTCAGCAATCTTGTTCCCAGGCCAGGTCTTCCTCCAAAGAGAGTTCTAGCGCCTGGAAACGAGGTTGCAATTCTACAACTACTGAGTCTGCCCGAGCGGATAATGTCCGATTGTAACTTCAGATCAGCATTAAAAGGGAGATTATTCCTCAAATGTGGAATAATCTGCCCATTAGTTTTGTAAAGTGAACTTGTAGTCATCTGGGTGAGTAGAATCTCATGAAAAAATGTTGTAAGGTTAATCGTGACCATATCTATAGAAACCCATACAGTTCTGAAAGCCACTCTATCATATGTATACATGGGTTCTACTAAAGAGAATTCACAGCTTGACAACAGGCCTAGGGGATATGTATGGAAAATATTAAGACTACACTTTCTCGTAATCACCCTTTTCTGGTACGTGGGTCAAAGTATTCTATAGTGCTTATAAATGTCGAAGTTTCTTTTTAGATCTATCATGATGAATGAGAGAAATACCGACTACGACTTGTTTTTATTTAATTAACGCTCGTTTTCTTCTACAGCCTGTCATGAAGGCGCTCAGCGAAGGGTGAACAGTCTCGTTTCTTTATCATTGTTCTAACAGCAGGTGGTCTTTTGACCCTATTAAAATCCACGGAAATAACGGAACAAAAGAAAATTGGTAAACCTGTTTACCAACCTGCAATCATGACAGAGACCAACACTAACACAATGAGCTTAACCCAAATAATATATATGGTCGTCAAATAAAAAATAAATGCAGTTATCAGACAGCCGACGGACTCCCTGAGTTCTTGTCCAGAGGTATTGCCTCATTTCTTTCCTTTCATTTTGCACTTTCCTCTACGCATATGACATCAAACGAAAATGCTAAATCATTAATGGAAGAGTAAAAAGCTTCTGAAATGAAATGGTCGGTTTCTGTTAATCTAACAGAAATTATCTTATTTTTGGACGGAACGTTTTATTTTTCAATCTCCAAAGAAAAACGGACCATGGAGCGTATGATTCGTTTTCCTATGCAAGTCGATAACCAGAGAAAAAGCAAAAGGTTAATTAATCTGGTTTTTGATACATTACACGGCAATTTTTGCTGTTTGTAAACACCTTCTACTTTCTTAGAAGTCTAAGAAACGAAACATGATCACAGATTTCAGCAGATCTCTACCTTTTCAATGAACGGTGCTGTATCGTTTTAACATCCAACAGTCTCAACTGATCGCTAAAGCTGCCCCGTTCATCGTGCCAGTATCAGTTATTATCATCGTAAACGGGTGGTAATTAGAAAAAAATAATTGCTTTTTGCTTACCTTCTCACGAATCTTTAACAGAAACAAGTATCAATTCTCCGTAGACTTACAAGTCCCTTCAGCGGAACGGTAAATCGTATTTCACATGTGTTATGTTTACATCACAATGTTTCTAAACTTTACGCTTTATTTGCACGGTCAAGCTTCGCGCACATGGACGGCGTTTCTAACTGGGAAACTGGGAACCAGCGATGTGTAAATATGACAGGCAAGAAGTACCGCCTTCTTGTCATACGATTGATACACCACCGTTTATAAATAGCACGACTAGCGTTTTATTTTTGATTAGGGGCTGATCGAAACTATAACAGTGCTAATCAAAATACGAGTTGGGACATTTTATATATGAGCAAGAACTTGTAACTTTATCTTCTTGTTCCCAGATCTCTTGTGGGCAAAAACGACTGAAGTTTTTTGTAAGTTTATAAACATATAATATAATGACATGAGAAGGTAATGTTGACGGTTAATGTACCAAAAATAGCATTTTGTCCATTAACGTTTAAATTTGCAGCTCTCCCTTAACGCTTGATAAGATTGTGAACTTTTTTTGCAGCTTAACGATAAATTCATAGTTAGCCTCTTTTGTCTGTTGAGGCGATTTAAGCGCACCCACAAAGTCGCGAAAACTAGTGCAAAGTCGTGAGGGGCCTGGGGAAGGACTCTTCCCAGGCTTCTCGCGGCTTCGCCACCTTGTGCGCGGGCTCAAACCGCTTAATCCACCAGCTACGCAGGCTAGCTGTCTACTGTGTTATCGATTGGGTCGGCAGTCGTAACTGACGTCTACGCTACTGGCAACATAACTTTCAACTTCATGAAGTCCTCAATACGATAGAGCATCATTGGAGGCACTCATGTAAATTTAGTGGAACAAAATGTAGGGTTTTATAAGAAAAGAGTTAAACTCCTACAGGATCGGTCTGGGACACTCATGGCCACCGTTTCATTGTTTTGGGACACCCCAGTCTGTAGTTTCCGTTGCAGCCGTTATTAGGGTCGTCACGCAACGCTTCTCCCCACTAATAATTAAGCGTTGCATGACGAGACTAATAGCGGCTTCGAAGGAGACTATGCTACCAATCTGGCTTCCGTGACCTCATTTGAAAACACTCTATAGTTGATTAGACTGAACTTTTTTATTGTGCTAATTGAAAAAAAATTGCAAAATAGATCCCAGTCAGTGGTAGGATGACCCGCTGGCAATTTGCAAGGAGCCGAGAATGTTAACTTAGGACCGTTGCGAACAAAGTTGGGGGGATACATCCTTATATGGGCTATATAGGTATGGGCGGCCCTAAAGGGTATCATTTTTCAGCCGTTTTGGTCATAAATAGGGTATCCATTTTGGCCATTTTGCTCTTTTAAAATAGGGTAAGGTTTCTGTACTCAAGTCTTAAATTGGGTATGTTTTTAAGTAAAAGCTATTTCTTTCATCATTATCGATAAGACCATCAACAAAAGCCCTTCAAAACAGGACAACTGTGTCAGCCGCAACGATCATAAATAGGGTATCGAATTTTTGGTCCGGTCATAAAAAGGGGAGAGAAAATCGCAGATTTTGATCATAAATAGGGTGGGGGTTTTGAGAAGCGGACTGCACACCCCCCACCACATTTTTCTGAGAGTACTCCCCCGAGAACAAAGCCAGTTAATGACAGTTTAAAGGACCTGAACCAGGGATCACCAGATTCAAATCCAGGTCCCTGAACCACTCGATCATACGCACCATTTAGCTTGCCATGTCTTATATTGGAAAACTTGTCTATGTGCATTATGGGCTTGAGTGGCAGCAATTCTGCAATACGAAATATTTACTACATGGACCCTTCTAGGGGTAGTCTACCACTCAAGAGATAGTTTCGTTGATTTCAGTTAAATGTGGATAAGAATATACAAAGGGTTAAGAAGTATAAAAGAAGCAAAACAATTTTAAGTGTGTTTATTTTATTATTGTGATTTTAAAACATTCTAGTAATTTTTCTGTTTTAACTTTATTCGTCTTTGTAGTTTTTCTCCTATTTCTAAGTTTTCTGTTCCTTTGTACTTGCTTCAGTCTCAAAACCTTTTCTACCTTCTAGGTCAGCCTGTTCCCCAGTCTCCTTCTCAATTTTTCGGAGCCGTTTCATCAACACGCCTTCGAGAGATTTTAAGATTTTTTTCTTCCAAGGAATGTTTTCCATCTCAAATCTCTGCCTAGTCTCGATAACTTTTTTGGCAAGCTGCTGAAGCGAAGTGTATTGTTTTTTCGGGGGAAGGGATGTTAGGAAGCTACAGTTTTTATCGTTTGTTCTTTCAGACTTGATGGCAGTCGAAGCTTCAGTCTTCTTGCGATTTCCATTCTGGCAAGAAGTATTTTTCTCTACCTTAGGCACTATCTTATCTACTTTTGAAATTTCGGGGTTCGCGTTCGATTTCTGGCCCGACGGTGAGTTACGCGAAGCTTTGGAGCTACCATTTGATTGTTGGCATCCCCGTGCAGTACCAGGAAGCTTGAAACTTGTATTTGATTGGTGTTGGTTTTTCTGCGTATTACGCGAAACGTCTGATTGCTGATTGTTGTTCGAACTAGCATGAGGCTGTTGGGTGGCCTGTGCATTAAGTGAAACATGGAAGCTTGAATTGGATTGCTGGTTTGTCTGAGCATGTAAGTTTCCATTGGACTGTTCGCTTTCCTTACTACTTCGTGAAACATGTAGTGAAGCATTATATTGTTGTGAAAGCTGTGCGTTCCTTGACGTATTGTATTGCTGGTTTGTCCTTTCGTTGTGTGAACCGTGTAAGCTGGCGTCAGAATGTTGCCTTATCTGTGCAGTGGGCGAAACGCGACTGGAGTGTTGGTTTGCCTGTGGATTGCTTACGATGGTAACAGTGCCGTGAGATTGCTGGTTTGCCTGTGCGTTGCGTGAAGCGTAGAAAGTTGCGTTCGATTGTTGACTTGTTTGTGCAACAGGTGAAACGCAAAGGCTTGAACATGACGCTTGGTTACCTTGTGCATGAAGGGTAGCATCAATTTTTTTGCCTCCCTGTGACACATGGACGCTCGAATGATGGTTGGCCTGTGGTGAAACCAGGACGGTTGTATCAGATCGTTGGTACACAGGCTCATCATGAGTGGAAGAAACACTTCTTTCTGTTTTTATTTTAACGTTTGAAATTTGACTTTGAATTGGTGAGGTATTTTTCCCTGCTGGAGAATTTCGAGAAGTTCTGATTATCATGCGCTGCATGCTCTGAATAGGATCACTTGATTTCTGTGTGCTCTGTGGACAGCCTTTCTGATCTAAAACGCAGTAGCACCGCTGACCGGAAGCTGCGGCACCACATACTTTCTTGTGTTGCTGATCGACTGCTAAAGAAGACCGCTGACTTGTTTGAGTATTGCATTTCTGCTCATTTGCCAGAAGTGATATCGAGGATGATACTTTGTGATAAGACTGCTGACCAGAAGTATGAACTTCACGTTTTGCCTCCATAGAAACCTCTACTTCAGTATGTTTCTGTTGACTAGATACCAGATCATCAAGCTCGATTTCAGTCAGACGTTCTCCTCTGTTGATACTTGGCATGTTGTCGCTGATTAACTTTCCCCCTTTAAAACGCCAGAGATAACTTGCCTTTGTTTCTTGGCCGTGCACGGCGTCTTTTTCCCGCGATTCTGGACGGACGCCGTTTTCCACTGGATACCGATAACGCTGGCCAGATTCATTGTATGATTTGACGGAAATGTTGCTGCGTAAAACGTTGTTTGATGGCGACAAGGGTGAATTAACCGAAGGCAAAGACTGATTTTGACTTGGTTTGGAAATTGTTTGTGGGAAATGCTGAAGAAGACTTGCGAGTGAAATGTTCGTCGTGGTCGTTTCCTCTTCTTGTTTGAGGACGTTTCTCTGTGGAGTATCTCCGTAAGTTTCGCATTGATTCCTTGGAACGTTTTCGTGCACATGCTGTGTCAGGAAAATATCATTAGCTTTGACTTGATCATCAGACTTGTATTTAACATTACACATGTCAGAGTTCAAAGCCAGCGCTGCATGACGCTGGCTAGTTGACGACTGTGCGTGGATGTTACCAGGTCTTACGTTGGTGTCGTGTTGATTATGATAAACTGCAGGTGCAGGGTAGGGGTCGGGGCGATTTGCTCTCCTTCCTGAATTTTGTGAAACAGTATAAATCTTTTCTTGAACATGTATCGGGATATCCTTGTTTGTTCCGCTTCTAATGGGTCCCTGGACGATACCATTGTGCTGTGAGTTTGGGGTAACTCGAGATGGATTCACAGAGGACCGAGGAATCCCTTGATGTATGCTACGAGCTCTATGTAAAGGACTGTTTCCTTGAGGACACGAAGCTGGCCTCGATCGCTGAAGATTTGGAGAACTTTGACTGTTCCGATAACAAACCTCTGGGTTTTGTTGAATATTTGTTCTAGAATCAGAGTCTACGCGATTCGACTTGTAGTTCTGAGCATTTGAAATTGTTTGTACAGTGCTACCTCGAACTGCGTTCGTTCTTGGGCTTTTTTGCAACTGACACCAAATTTCATAGAGTTTCCGCAGCTCGTAAAAATTCACTCCTTCAAACGTTTGTTGTCTAGGATCCACATTTCCTTGAGAGTAGGCCAGCCACTCTTGCATCAGGTTCTGTTTTAAAACACGTTTGACCTGTTCAACGTTTCCTTGGAACTTGGAAAGCAGGTGATAGAGCACATAACGTTCGAAGGTAACTTCCTCCGAAGAGCTCTTAGTCATATTACCAAAAGCAGATTGGTTGGTTTCCTGATAACGAGGATGACCTTGAGCAATAGTTTGCTGATTTTGCGCTCTAACAGATCTTGTTTGCGAATGGCCCTTTCCTCTTTCCTCTACTGATGCACCACTGTAGGAAGGCTTATTCTGATTGGCTTTAGCTCGAGAAATAAAAGCTTTGTTTTTCGCCCATTCGTCTTCATCCTGTGAGCCTCGTGATACAGAATGCACTGCCACGATTTTCGGCATTGCCATGTGGTCAAATGCGTAACCTCCGCATGTCGAATTGTCTGGGCTCTCTATTTGTCTTGGTACAGGCTCTGCAGGAAACAATTTCTGTTTTGCAATTGAAGAAGGCGACAGAGGTTTAGCTTTAAGCGACTCTGTTCTCTGAAATTGGTCACCAGGAGTCCTCGCATTTCTCGACACGTTCCCTGGAGAAGTCGCTGCACTGTGTTTACATCCCCCGTTATTCCTGAATGTTCTCCAGTCTATTGCAGGATCGGGAGTGTTGTCTTTTGTATAATGCTTTTGGAGGCTTCCCCAGCGGATTTCCCGTTCATGCTTGTACACTGCTGGTTGTTTTAACAGGGGTGGGGGAGGTCCTAGTGGCTTCAATGAATTTCCAAGGGTTCGAGTCTTTTCAAACATTTCCTCCCTGGCACTACTCGTCTCGTTTCTCCTTCGCACGGGATTTTGCTCGGCAAAAGCACAATAGTCCTCTAGTCGGGAGCACTTAGGATCTGCTGACCTAATAGTCGCGTGACTTTGCTCCAAGGATCGCTTAGTGGGGCGATGGAGAAGCGGAGGAGGTTCGTGAGAAGTCACGTGATCTTGGGCTTCCCCTCCGTAGTCTCCGTGGTTTTTCTCTTGCAAACTGTTTTTCTCGAATACTTGCCTGAATGATGACAATGTACCGTTTTCGTTGAGGTATTGCTCCAGCAAGCTGTGTAATGTTTTTGAACAGACAGTCCATGAGTTAGGTCCATTCTGTCGATTGTCCATGTGATAAGAAGCTTCGTTTGTGCCAGGAGTGGTTGGCGGCAACGCTTTGACATCTAAAAAAAGGAACGTTAGAGATGTTACGTTTCCACGAAGTTGATAGGTAGTTACCACAATAGCTAGTAATACATCTTAGCCTGCAGTTTAGTGGTTTTGTGTGTAGAAATATGTGCTAACGAGTCACGGTAACACGTGAACACCACATTCAATTACCAAATTTACAAAATGCTACTAAACAGTAAGATTATGAGCTTGAGATTTCTATCGCGTGATATATAGTTGTTGACGAGGGCGCAGCCCGAGTCAGCTATCACACATAGAAATGGATAGCGAATAATCTAATTGTTTTAGTGTAAATCTACTAGTCGTTCAAAACTTTATCTGCATCCTCTTTACAGACACCTCGAAGACGCAAAGAAGCGGCCACAAGTTCGTCAACAAGCACACACTGCTAGGCTACTCACTATCTACAACAGAACAGAGAGTGAGTAGCCTAGCCAATCATCGAATGGCATTCGTGATAGAACGCTAGTAGATTTATACTGATATGTGTTATGGC